TAATGACAATTCCGGACACAACCCATAATCCACTTACACCACCTATCCCCGAACCCAAATTTAGTCAAAACTTTCCTCAAAAATTCCCAGTCCACTAAGTCATAAGCCTTTTCCAAATCCAACTTACAGACCACTCCCTTCTTCTTATCCCTCTTAAAGTTCTCCAAACTCTCATTAGCAATTAAAATCTGATCAGTAATTTGTCTTCCATTTACAAAAGCTCCTTGGTAGTGTGCAATGATATCTGGCAAAACCTTCTTCAGCCTCAAAGACAACACTTTTGCAATGATCTTATACAAGATTCAATAGAAGTTTCATCAATATACAACAAGTTCATAGAAAAACAACAAGAACAACAAAGAAAAAGATCATTTTAAACCATCAAAAAACCATTTGATGTTCTACTTATTTATAAAAAACAACAATGAATAATGTGATTGATCATTTTCAAAAATAACAATACTAATGCAACTGATCACGATAATAACTGACACTCTTGTATGATCCTTATAGTTTCATAATTAACAGAACTTATTCAGTATGGCAAATAGAGATACGGAGCTGCTACTCTCCTGTATTCTGTTCCATCTAGTTGAATGGAACAAGAACAGTTTAAATTCTAAAAAGCTTTCATACAAATAGGAAATTCATAAAGATAATACCTTATCCCCGCATAAATCGGAAAGGGCCAAATTTTCGTAGCCATAAATGGAAGATTCCATCAATGTAATCTATACTTTACCGCACTTTAGTTATACAATTGTAGTAGAAACAGAACTCAAACATGAAAAGAAAAAAAAAAATCCTAAGCAAACATGGAAAATCCAGCACAGATATTCTAAGCCATGGTTGAAGTCCCATTCTCTTTTTTTTGGAAATGGAAATCCCATGTTCGAAATTTAAGCCTCCATACCAAACCCAAATCCTTTAAATAGTTTCTTTCCTACCCAAATCAATAAGCATCCTAAGCGATTATTAATACCCACGAATTTCAATGAGAAGAAAATTGCCCTTGTATTATTTTGTAAAACTAAAATATAATAAGGTACAGACTCCAAAACTATTTCCTAGAAGCCCTCCAAATTATTGGGTTCTACTCTTCATTGAATTTCCATTTTCCTTCTAACAGGTCATTATTTGATCATTTGACTTTTCTTCTAGTCCAAATTCAACTATTCAAGAGAAAGACAAGAAAAAACAATAAATTCATAAATTTCTAATATCTGGGTAAGATAGAAGCACAAGAAGATATCATCGAGTACAAAAAGAAAAAGAAAAAAAAAAAAAAAAGAGAGTACCTCATTTGCAAGCTCTACTGTTTGTCAGCCTCTGTAGTGTATTGACCCAGAAGAAGCATTTCTTTCCTGGCTTTCATTCGAATGCTCTACCCTCTGCAGAAACGTTTCAACCAATTTTTACGGTCTCAATCAATCGTATTGCACCACGTTTCCATTCAAAGTTTTTCAATACAAAGCCGGGTAGTAGATCAACCGGCCCTCCCCACTTTAATCTTGGGGCCCCGGCCCCATTAGACTGGTTTTTATGGTATGAGGTCTTTGATTAGGGTGGTGTTTGGTATGGCTTTCGTTTATTTCATAAACGATGCCATGTCATCACCAAATCAGCATTTGTCCCACCATGCCGATTCTTACATATAGATATGGATAAAAGTTGGTCTTGATTTATGTGTGTGCCAATCATTGTGGGAAGCGTTTATTTACTGTTTTGTTGATGTGATGCTCAATGGTATCTAGTTGTTAACAAATCCCAAAAAAAAAACATTTACCAACCACTTTTTCTTGGTTTTGAAGACAAATCAAGTACGAACGGTTATTTAATAAACGAAAACCATGCCAAACATGTATTAGATTATGGCTTTTGTTTATTAAATAAACGTTTGTACTTGATTTGTCCTCAAAACCGAGAAAAAGTGGTTGATAAATGTTTTTTTGATATTTGTTGACAGCTAGATGCCACTAGACGCCATTAGGCATCACATAAGTGGAACAATAAATAAACACCTTTGTGTTGGGACTCTGGATCACCTACCCACAAGAACTCTGCCTACGTCTACACACAACACACTACCCCCGTGAATTGGGATTATCTCCCCCTGTATAATACCATTTAGGAGGATGAGACATTCCCCATGTATAGTTGCGATGTTATATGGGTAGACGTGGGAAGAGTTTGTGTGGGGAGGAGATCTAGACTCTTCTGTTGGTGGGGGGGGG